TTGACACACTGCTTCTAAGCTACCTTTACTACCCACCTCCCCACTAGACTGTGAGAATCTCAGGAGCTGTGCCCAGGGTTATTTGTGCCTCTATCCCCCAAACCTCCTGCCAGGCTGGCACCTTGGAGGAGCTGGAAAAACAGCTGTTACATGGATGAATGACTTTCCAAACCTGGAAACCTACCACTTGCCCTCACCTCTTATTTTTTCCCCATCAGAGTTAAGACTAACTAGCACTTTGAAGGTCAAAACGACTTTCTCTTTCATTAGCTAGGCTTCATTGTAAAATTTCTGTTTATAAGAGCTTATTTTGTGATGAAGAAAGCCATTTAAGGCTCTTATTTCTAAACAGAAACAATTTCAGGGAATTTCTGATGTTTGTCTGCCTCACAGAAAATAGAAAACACGGAGCAACAAAAGTGAAATGTACTAGCATGGTCAGAGGGCACGCAAAGTTGATTCTGCTTCCACCTCTCTGCCTCTTGTTCCTTGCCAGTCTTATCCCACTAGGAGGAAACAGGTACATCCCCAACACATCAAGAGGAAAAATGAGACATGAAATTTGAGCAACTTGTCAAGGGTTATCTAACAAAGCAGAGGTTATCCTAACAAATTGCTCAGCTCCTCTAACTAAGCCCAGTGGGAAAGACACCATATCAGGTTGGCTCAGCTAATCGACAGAGTTAGGAGTCTAGAGAAATAAAGTCAAGTTTCATTCAGAGCAGTGGTCAGCAAACCACCATCCATGGGCCAAATTCAGCCTGTGTTTGTAAATGAAGTTTTATCAGGACATAGCCATGACCGTTTCTTTATGTATTATTTATGACCACTTTCATAAGGCTACAGCAGCAGAGCCAAGTGGGTACACCAGAGACCTGGCCAGCAAAGACTAAAATATTTACTACCTGGTCCTTTACAGAAAAAACTTGCCCATCTCTGATTTAGAGAGTAGTTTGATGTCTGGGTTTTGTACTATTTTCCTAGTATTAGAATACTCAACTAGATCCTGCTCCTGTTCAAACTATTTCACTTGACAATAAAATTTTTTAAAAAATTGACAATCTTTGATTCAAGTTTATGTTATAGTTCAGAGAAAAAATTGAATGGTTTGGTTTAGGGATTTGGGGGCACACAGCTTGGTTGTGGCTTTGAAAAGAACATTTTTACAAATGTAGAACAAAGTGGGCAGGTGAAATGGAATGCTTTTTGCTTTGGAAAATGTCTTTCACTCAAGGTTGAACATACACTGCTCCTTCCAGCATTAAGATTTGAAGAGTCTATCTATATTCCACTGGCTTAGCAAATCCTATTTTCGCCAAAGGTCCAGATATCATTTGTTGGCACCTAGCTTTTCTCATAAATGGAAGTATGCCCTCTTCCAAGTTCTTCCATAGATACCTCTTGAAATCTAAACATTTGAAAACAAATACCTTGTCTTCCAAATACAAATGTATTTACAAGTCAATCTTTTGCAGCTAAATGTATCTTATGATAACCTTACAACCACTTCACAACTGAAATCTAGCCTTCTAACTCTTCCTGCAGATGTGTGATCACATGTGACATTTTCATCTCATTTTTTCAAACCTTTTACTATGGAAATTTTCAAACATATGCAAAAATTGAAAAGTCCCCAGCCATCAGCTTCAACAAGTATTTTTTTCAATCCATCCCTCCTCCCGACTTTATTATATGATGCAGTAATTGAAAACAGACCTCACACATCAAACCATTTCACCCGCGAATGCTTGTTTGTTTCTGATAGGCCTCTTTCTTTGAACAAAACCATAACACCATTATCATATCCAACAAAATAATAATTCTTAATATCATCTAATACCCAGTCCAAGTTCAATTATTCTCCAACTGTCTCAATAATGTCTTTTTATAGTTGGTTTGTTCAACCAAGGATCCAAACATGACCACATGCTATATTTTGTTGATAGTTCTCTTGGGTCTCTTTATATCTCCAATAGATTCCCCTCATTCTTATTTCACCCATCACTAGCACACATTTAAGTTGTATTTGGCGAAGCAAACCTTACCAACAGTAATACCTCTTCAGCCTCCATATGCTATAAGCAAACCCAGACATTCAAAGGCCTTTAGGCCCTTAGGCATGAACTCAAACAGCTCGACCTTCCACATACAATCCAATAAGAAAAACAATATGCCAAGCCCTCCCACCCATTTCTTGCTCTCAAGAGAAGAAATTCAGATTGCTTCAGCAAGCCAATTCTCTAAAATTAAATTTTTTTCTGGGCTGCAATGGCCCGAAGACTCTGAATGATTTAAAAAACAAGGTGTCCATTCATTATGGCTTTTTTTAATTAGCCAAACTTAATCAAGAACCACAAGTAAATCAGACAAGCCTTGTAATCCATTATCGTTAACAGTAACAACATTAATTGAGCACCTAGATCATGCAGGACATTGGGTTATAAAAAGGATGACCTGCATCTCTGCCCAAGGGAACTTGCAGACTAAACAAAAAGGCATCACATCATTTAGACAAAAGTGCCCAAGGAGGACAATAGAGACAATATCACCCAAATCAACATCCACGCCCCAACAACTGGGTTAAGAATATTTGTGAGGTCACTCTGCAGGATGGAACAAAAAGAACAAGAGTCAGAAGGCACTGAGTTTGATTGTTAGTTCTACCATTTACAAACTGTGCCACACTAAATAAGTTAGTTAACCTCTCTGATTCTCAGTTTTATCATTTGAAATATAGGAATAATCCCACCTACCTCACAGAGTAACAGCTGTTAACTTTGAATCAAAAGATCTTATATAAAAATCCATTGATGGGCTGGCCCAGTGGCGCACTGGAGAGTGCGCCGCTTGGGAGCGCGGCGGCGCTCCCACCGAGGGTTCGGATCCCACGTGGAGACCAGTTCCCACTCACTGGCTGAGCGCGGTGCGGGCGCAACACCGAGGGTTGCGATCCCATTGCCGGTCCCCGGTACAGGCGCAACGCCGAGTGTTGTGATCCCGTTACCGGTCAGTAAAAAAGACAAAAAGGAAAAAAATAAATAAATAAAATAAAAAATAAAAAAAATAAAAATCCATTGATGATGATGATGATGATAAAATCAATGTATATAATACTCACTGAGCCAGGCACTGGGCTAAAATGTTTCATGTGTACTATCTTATCTAACCCTCATACCAGTCCTATGAGGTAGCGCCTATTCTTATGCCATTTTCCAGAGAAAAAAAACTGAACAGAGTGGGTGAGTGATCCACCCAAGCTAACCCAGCTACAGGTATGGAGAGCCAGGACAGGGGTGTAAGGACTTCAGGGTTGTTGCTGTCATTCACGGCATGATAATGCCTACCCAAATACAGCCATGGTAAGGTATAAGGGTAGCACCCAGGGTGGCATCAATTGGGGAGGAGGGGGTAGGCCCTCCTATTACGACTCTTGGATCAACTACATTGGAAAGTTATAAGATATAGCATCCCATAGCTCCCACCCCTGCCCAAACAGGAAGCCCCAGGAGGCTCCCAGAGTTGTCCTACCCAAGGTGTGTTATGTTCAGAGCCATAATGATGGTTTCTTTCCTTACTGGGTCAAGTCTTCGGCTGTCTGCTAGGGAGTATTTAAACCTTTTTTTATTACAAGTCTCAAAAACACCCAATATTTGTTCAATTAGGGCCAAAGTAAAATCATAATTTTTTTCCTATAAAATCTCTTCCTTTTTGTACATATATATACACATATACATACAAAAAAAGACTGAAAGAAGCTAGCCACCAGAAAAGAGGTTCAACTACCCTGTGGCCACCATGCTGTGAGAAGGCCAACCTAGCCAAGTGGAAAAAGCACCTGGAAGAGAACTGAGACCCTGGCCAACAGTCCCAGCAGATCTCTTGGATGACAGCCAGGGCCCATGACACCTGTGTGAGTGAAGCTATCTTGGACCTTCCCACCTTCCCATAGTTTCGACTGAAACCACATGAAGAAGCAACCACCACCCAATCAACCCACAGAATTGTAACAAATTGATACGACGCTGTTGGTTCAGACCACTGAGTATTGCCCTTTCAAGTGCCAACCTACTGTATTAATGTTGTCCCCCACTAAAAGACATAATGTGTGTAAGGGGCTTAACACTGCCCAGCCTCTGGTAAGTTTCTATAAACACCAACTCCTATTACAAGGAAATGTGCAGATGGGGAAGGGAAGACTAGAGGAAGAACCGTATATGCCTGGTACACAGTGAGCCCCCAATCAATAGTAGCTATTTTGATGATGTCTACATGCTTTCTTCACCAGCAAGAAACTGGCCAGACCCAGAACAAGTAGGTGCTCAAGAAACGTTTCCTGAATGGGAACGAAATGCTTCATTCACCACAAATGCGAACTTTGATTTCCAGGATGACACCTCCCTCGGCTACCAGCCTTAAAATGATTCCAAAGAAAAGGAGAGGGCAGGAAGGGACAAGTGAAAGAGACCCACTTAAGAAATACAGGGGCCGATGGGCTCCGTGGGACAAGAAATGGAGCTGGACTTGTGGCCATGACACTCGAAAAGTCCGTGCAACTCCGCGGCCGGCCACACGGACAGAGGGATCTCCCAAATTCCCCAACACTCTCCAAAGTCCCAGGGAAAGGGCGAGGCCCTGGGGTGGAAGCCACCCACCTGCAAGGTGGCCGCGCCTCCTCCGCCAAAGTAGACTGGGACTTGGGACTGGCCCTCCCGCCCCTCCCACAGCAGCTGGGGAGGAGGAGGAGAAAGTGCCGGGAAGTCAAAAGTTTCCCAACAACAACAAAAATCCTCCCCCCGCAGAAGGGAGCGCTCCCAGTCCTCAGCCCGCCCCTGCCCGGTGAGGAGGGACCGCCATCAGTAGATCAAGGTGGGTGGGGTCCCGCTGTTCTGGTCCCAACATGCAGGGCCAGGCCTGTGGCTGCCCCGCCCCCCGCGCTTCGGGCACCCGGAATTCTGTGAGACGGTCCCAGGGAGGGGCGGGGCGCCCCAACTCTTACTTACAATCGTCTAATTCATCCGGCAAGTCCATAAAGTACAGGGGGATCTCTGAAAACCAAGAGACACACAGGAGTTAGGCGGTGTTGCGGCGTCGGGCGGGGCTGGGGGTGGCCAAGGGCTCCCGGGCCCCGAGGGGTGGCCCGGGGTGCGGGGGAAGGGAAGGGGTGCTGCCCCGGCGCCCCGGGAGCCCGGTCCCACTCACCCGCCATCTTGGGAGGGGCAGAGAGCGGGGCCTAGGCGGGGTGGGGTTTCGGGCATCAGGCCACGCCCCCGGCCCGCGCGCCGGCGGGCCCCGCCCTCCCGGCGAAGGTGGCTGCCGAGGTGGGCGGGGAAGTCAGGTGACCGGCCGGCGTCCCAAGATGGCGGCGGCGGCGCACGGGAGGCCGCGACGGCATCCCGG